AAAAGGGCATTTTAACTGCTCATAACACAGACTCCTGTGGAAAAACAGCACAAAAAGGATAGTTGTATCGCATGCCCGTCCCTCTTCAAAACTGCGACTCAGGATTTGAAAATAATTTCTGTAGTGGCTGGGTTCACTGTTACTGTGATTCTGCAGTACCTCGGCAGTACTTCGGGCGTATGTCAAGTCATCCCTGTCCGTCTTTCTGGTGCGTTTTCTCAAAGTGTAAAAGAACACAGCGATGAAACCAACAAGGGAGAAGGACGAAAGCCCATCGAGTGCGACCATACCAATAATTACTAGCAGATACGAGTCGTCCGATAGGGGCTCAGCCGAATACGCGACTATGATAACCAGTTCCCGATCTCATACTTCAATGCAACTACGTCATTTTTACAAGCATGATCTAGAAATTACAACATTTGTTGGCTCACATTGTGCCTCCCAACTATGTCGTTAAACAGATATAATAGATAAAAGTGAATAACAGTACATTCGTGCGGATATCTTGGAGCTTTTATAAACCTCCCTTATTTTATTGAATGTTCCAGTGTAAGAGAATAATCTGTTAAGAAGAAGGGTCGGTCTATATCAAAAAATTGTGGGACAAATATTGCACAGACAGACCAGTCAGTGTTTGCAGTATTTCTGATAAAATCCATGATGTTGTTTCGACCCAGTAAAATTGCAAGAACATTTTCTCCCGACGAGTTGACAGTCTGCAATATTGTAATCACTGCCTAAAAATTCAACACTATTCTGTTCAGTATGTGTTAAGGCATTGTGTCGAAAAATAGTATTGCAAAGACTAGCTTTAATTGTGGGGTTACTGTCTTTCTGTGTCCAACCGTCCAATCCTAGTATTCGAAAAGATTTTCGAAATCAGAAAGATAACATTGTGGATTCTAACCAAAACATGGCATACTGAAATCGTCACCTATGAACCCAGACATTGCTATGTGAATGTTTAATTCAAATGAATATCCATTGCACGAGCGGCATTTGATGGCTCATAGATGCAGGCTATTATGAGGTGCTAATGGACAGAATTATGTACAGTGACAGATATATCGTCTTACATCAGTCCATGGATTTCTGGAAAGATCACAGTCGAAACAGTCACACATATACTGTGCACTATCAGCATTTGTCTGAATTTCGAACTTTACGACGTCCTTATGATGTTAAATCAGAAATATTAGGCGTGCACCAGGTTTTAGTAATTAGGATCTAGGATAGACTGACCAAGTAAGCTATAGATCTTATTGTAAATAAAGTGAAAATAAAGTTACAGAAAGTTGTGAAGGAATGATGAAATCGCATAAATCACCAGCTAACCTAATGCATGTAGAGTTATTTTGTTCGATTTTTAGGCGTCTGAGATTTAGAGATGTTTCTTCATAATTAACCGATAGTCAAAGGAAAAACTTGTGTTAGTTGTTCGAAACAGTAGGGAAGATTCATTTCGAAGGTCATCATGAATAGATTAATGAAGTCAGGACAAATCAATTATTGATGTATCTCGAGATTGTTCAGAGGGCTTAGTTATGTAGCCATTGCAACCAAGAGGGATGGCTTCTAAATAATAGTTCATTAAGTTAAAGGTAAGAGTATCCCCAGTAAAGGAGTATGATATGGGTTTAAGGAGAAGGGTAACTTGATAGCTCGTTTTGCTGACAATGAGGTGACCTGCTTGAAAAACCCGAACAACCTGCTCCTGCCACCTATATATTTCAACAAGTTACTTTGTTCGTTTATTTTAACACAATGTTATGTCTAGTAATCGCACAACCCACCTAAATGCGTATATGAAATGTTTACAACTGTTGCTTTGCAAGACACGAAGATGTACTGCCAAGGATATAGTACTGACTTGTAACGTGCACTGAAAAGAATAAAAATTATTTAGATGTCAATTTCAGAACTGCTAACTTCTTGTTGAATAACTCTAGTTGGTATGGTGGACTATCTGCAATTCCTGCTTAGTCTAATTTTGGTATAATTACAACTCAAAACTCTTGGTTAAATAATTTACAATACGAGTGTTTATCATCACTACCACATGGTTTTTATATCTATCGACAGTATCGACTGAGTAATGAGAAAAGTTGTGGCAGCAGTGTAGTCACACTAACAAATATGAATTATCGTCGATCTACTTTTGTATTTTTTAAGTTTTCAAACGACTTTATTAACTGTTACACTTTAAGATGCTGTCCCAAAATCTTGGACAAATACAATTAGTTTTACGTTGCCAACACCTACGTGACTCCGGATGGAAAATCATCTGCACTACCTGTTTTCGTTGATGAATTCGCTGAACTTGCTTTTGTTGTCTTAGAGATGAGAGAAGCATCAGAGATTTTGATCAGATGAATGTTTGTGACTTAAACAGGTCTTTTAAGTCAGTCATCTGCTATCATACTTCCTATATCCGCAGATTTAAAGAATATTTATGTTCCGGTTTTCACTGAAACTGACATACGAAAATGTCAATACTCACTTAAATCGTCCCAATCTTTGGGACCTAATGAAATCCAAGACCTCCATTTTAAGGAATGTACGGACGTTTCGCGTTATCCATTGACGAACATCTTTAACAAATCCTCAACTAATCTTATGCCGAAAATGTGGAGAAAGTTTAGGATAAACCCAATATTGAAAAGAGTATCTGACGATAAGAATGTTAAACGTAGACCCATAGTAATAACTTCACATTATCTCAAAACAATGACAAAACTATAGCTACCCGTACTTCAGCCTGAACTAGAAGAGCACATCGATCCATATCAGTCTGCCTACAAATTTGTGGATGCTGCTGTTGTCCTGCATCTTAATATAATGTTCATCTTCGAAAAAAGTAAGAAGTATGTTCGATGAGCTTTTCGAGAACGTACTTCTGCCTATTACTATATTCCAATACGACGTATGCTTAACAAGTGAATCACCATCAACACTGACAGCTGGATATCCAACCGACTGTGTTCCTACCTCTCTGGAAGAGAACAGTATACTGTGTTTGGAGGGAAGTGTCCGTTGTCTTCACTAAGTGTTGTGCCACAAGCAGTTATTTTTAAATCCTTTATTTTCTGATTTTTTGCGCATGATCTGCCGTCTACAGAAAATACTTTTGTTAAGTTTGTGGATGATTTCACTGTATGTACACCGATCTCTGTCTCTTCATATCCCTGTGAAATGAGTGGGTTTTTGTTACCCATTGAATAATGGCTTGTTCTTGCTGCTAATACACTCAGTCCTTCTGAATGTTAGAATGTTGATTTTTACATAAGGTGTAAATATCACTTGAGCATCCTGTTGGAATTTTATAAAGCTTGTATTATTAGAGATTCCTTAATAAACACAATATCAAAAGTCATTTATCTCAATGTAAATTTTCCTCCGATCTTTCTTGATCTTTACTTGTCTTACCATTGTTAAAAAAAGTTTCCCGACTAATTTACTGCATGAAGAGGCTGCATGCTTTTGAGATTACTCGACACTTACTCCTACAACTTGCCAATTTTCTCATACCGCCTACTATTCTTTATTGTTCTTCATTATTCTTTCCCGGGATTTTGATGAAATACTTTGCAGTTTCGCAGAGAGTCCTAACGGGAGTTAGCAGGGTATGTGGTGAATTTTTAAAAGTCATTTTGGTATGATTGTAGACAGGCATCTAAGGTCTCGCAAACTCCTGGCAGATGTTATCTTATCAGATACTAGCCATCCACTTCATTCTTATCTTTTTCTTTGTATATATTCCGGTAGCATGAGATGTCAATACATTGGAATGAATACATGCAAGCAAAAGTATGGAAGATCTACGATGCATTAGTTAGCAAATATATTGTGACAAATAGGTCTTAAGAAGTGACGTGGCCAATAACTTATATTCATAAACATGTTTCTAATTAAAAAATTTGTACGCATTCGAATCTTTCTAAAAAGGTACATTTCATTTAATTTCAGGTTGCTAACTCATTTTACTGATGTGAATTTGTATTCACTTGTCATTTTCCTTCTTTAAATATGTAAAATAAACTTGTCGAAATATTTTTTCTGAGAGTTCTTTATTGTACGAATAATATGACATCAAATAAGGCTATCAGCAATGAAAATTATATTAGTGTGGTGAGATATTTCAAATGACCCACGATATTGCGCCACCATCTCCTCTTGTCTTCGATGGATAACTGTCCCACATTTGGGAAAGTTGAACTTCACTGATCACGGCTTCAAATTAGAACTCCGAAAGTTTCCTCTCGAAGCTAGTCGGTTGAGAGCAGGCGTTTATTATCAGTATAAAGTTTTGCAGATTGTTGAGTTTTAATTTGAACCATGGACAGATCAACATTGCATCACCATTAAAAATCTGGAAGAACTGGGCGGCCATTTAGACCTAGTGTGGGACTCCTCGGCAGTGCGCACCCACGATTTCGTATGTGGGACTCCAAACCACGATATTCAGTCTCGCTCAACGGCTTTAGTGAGTGAGCAGTGTGTTCAGTACGTTGATTGTATATCATTTACGAAGGCGATATGTGTCGAGGGATTGTAGGCATACTCGAGGTATACGAGAATGGTGTTGCCAACTAGCTAATTTTGAAGTTACATCTTGCGGTTAGCACCTAACTTGAATTAGCCTTTGTCGTATCACGGTACCATGACTGCATTGATGACCGTACAGCATAAACGACGTTATTACAAAAATATACCAGTAAGAATAAGTGTAAGGAACAGAGTGATCACCACCGCATGGGCAGCCCATAGCGTGCAATTAGTTGTTTTTGACCTTGACGTGGATCAGTGAACTGTCCCACATACGATGACGATGATTTTGCTAGGGCCCAATTCCCATTTCGGTGACACTACTTGATCATTATTATTAGTTTAGTGTTCAAAGGTTGATTACACTCCTGCCTGCATTGTTACTTAGAGAGGTAGGGGCAAGTTTTCATGATATCGAGTTTTCGCGCTATAACTTGTGTTGTACGGCTCATGTTGTAGCACACACTGCCGCGGTAAGTTTGACTTTTAGTCTCGTGACATTAGATAATACGATAAGATAGAGACGAACTTTGATTTGAAATTACTGACTAATTGATTGGTTAGATCAATACTTTTAGTTGTACAGTTTCGGTTAGCTGCTAATTGAGCTGAGAATATACACGCATGTCATCGGGAGATTTACTCAAACGGCGAATAGACATCACGACAACCCTTGTATATATCCGTGTGGTTGCCTGCGGCGACCAGGTTGCCCATTCTCGTAGTATTACAGTATCGTCAGCTAGTTTAATAATGATCCCAATCTCCCACTTTTGAGGGGGCCGCAATAGAAATCCTTGAGGAGATGGCACAAATTTTCCTCAATTGAGGAAAACTACCAATATTCTTACGACTCTGATGAGAACCCCAAAATAGGAAGATTGGGGTATGTCTAATTAGAACCTGAACTATTGACAGAGGCGGTTGTATGATAATCATATTCAGTACCTGTGTACAGGTGAGCGTATACCCATTGTTTCACATAGAGTTAATCGTTTTTGTCTTATCAAGGTAGAAATACAATAGATCCTGTGTTCCAACATATACGACCTATCCTTCTTGTTGATCATCATTAGGGTTCTTGTTATCTATGTAGTAAAAATTGTTACCCGCACTCAATTTCTAAATAAGATTGGGTGTTATTTAAGCTTGCTCTTTTGCATAAAGCAGGGTTTTTCTGAGTAAATAAGGTTAATCTAGTGAGTAAATTATCAAACTTGTGTGTTTGACTAAAAACCTGGAGTAACAGTTATGGTTTGGAGATTATTGATCGCCGCTTACCCTTCAAGATAATTGCTTATCAACATTTACCGAAACACTTCACTGGCTTAATGGGAAGACAGCTTCGTGGTAAAAACCCATGTTAGCTGCGCTGATTTTATTCTGAAGAATTTTTGCAGATACCCTTTTAAAGCTGTATAAGAAATTTGCTTTTTCTCAACTAGTCATAACAGTTATATGTTCAAAATCTGCCTTAGTAAATTCTTAACCTGATTTTCCGTAGATAATCTGTATTAGTTTAGCAACATTTATGAGTCTGAACTCGTACTTTTAAGTGTCACTTTAAACTGAACGAATGATTACAAAAGTATCACCAACATCGCAGCTTATCTGTACGGTGACATCTCCAGATACGTCAGTCAGTCAGCAACAACGTAGAACTTTGTACGTATGTACATCAGTTCAAGTTGCCATGCTACAGCACAGTGATACAATTTTCTATTCAAATCCCATAGTGGTAGATGTAGTAAAAGTATAAGCAGTAATCGGAAAGATGAAGGTTTGAAGATGTTATTTAAGGAGTATAATCCAGTAGAGAGAGATGTGACAGCAGTAAGTGTTTCGCTCGGACAACCAGCATCTGCAGCGATGCTGCTTTGTCAAAAGGAAGGAAGGAAAAGATTAGAAAAGGTAGATCCTAAAAATGTCACACTTCGCGGATTTTCGTCTCCGGCGGTAAGGCCTTTTGAAAAACGGAGCTATCACGTTAAGAACTTCCCACAAAGGCTGTGCGTGACTGGCCTCAAGCAGTTGTCCCTTGGGCTGTACAGTCACGCTCCCAGGTCGTTAAGACCAACGCTAACCCATCTTTGGATAGTGATTTTCCTTAACGTTTGTCTTCGTTACAGGTTGCAAAGCCTTAGAATGACTTTCTCCAGACAAATGTATTCGATTAACCTATTACGGACAGGTTGGCTGCATTATTATGTTAGCAATCGATACTCAGTAGTTCCAGTCACTGGATTATCCGAAGCATCAGTAGCTAGTGACCAGGAATCTGAAACTAATTCCAACAAACTTAAATCCCTCAATTTCTCCGTGAATTCAGTTACGTTACTCGGGACTGTCATCGGAATAAAAGTAAGTTACCTGTTCTATTGAGGAGATACTGTATTTTATGATAAATGAACTTACTAATAATTAGCTCTATTTATCCTTACAATATTTCACTGTCTCATCTACTAGTCGTTACTTTTATCTTTTATTAAACACTTGGATGTCACTTTCTGCTAGTCATACATCTGTTAATCTCTCTCTCTCTCTCTCTCTCTCTCTATATATATATATATATATATATATATATATATATATGTATATATATATAAACTATAGTCAAATGAATTCTGATTAACATAGCTTGTTTAATAGTTCTATGTTAGACAAACCTTTCATCTGTATAACTGTGGCGTGTCCGATGCTCATCCAGAAGGGAAGTTTGTAATGACGGGCTCCAATTCAAATTTCACAAGATTGATTAATTCGTGGGAAAATGTAAGTCTCAAATGTCATTCAAATCAAGAACCACTTTTCGTGTATCCTGGGATTAAACGTCATAAATTACCGCGCCCAAATTACGTACGTTCTGCCTTCCTGTCTATAAAACTGAGTTTTTTGGGAATTAATGTTTCAACATCCTGGGGTGAGTCTGTAGTCGTCCGTGCATTTAAAAAGGTCACTTCACCTAAGCAAAAACCATCGGTTGATAAGTCCGCTTCCGATTGCATCCAAATATTGGCTTTCATCATGCTTTGGAGATTGTTCGAAATCCGTGAAAAATAGATTTGCGAGGAACAAGCCGGTTTTCGTTCTGATCAAGGATATATTGGTGACATCTTCAGCCTTCACAAAATGTTCAAACACCTCCACACTTACTGGAGGCCAACAGTTTTTGTTTTTCTTGGTATCGAGTTCTACTCATTAGACAGGACTGGTTTATAGCAGTCTGGGCCATCTTTGGCGTCTTCGTGATGTCGGTCTGGCTATTAAATGTTGGATCTACAACTAGTCGTTAAGAGCAGTTTCGCTCCATGCTTGTAAAGTCTGACCTCTCCGGAATGAGGATATTAAGTGACTGCGTGATTGATCGTCATCGCCTCAGATGGATTCAGCGGCAACATCATGGTGGCAATGCGGACGTACGTAGACAATAACGATAATTGAACTGGAGTCATCTTGGAACGCCGATTTCTATAGCTTGGACATGTACTACAAATGTCCAAGCGAATTGCCATATGGTACATTATTTGCTGACGCTGTAGCCAGTTGGAAAAAGCGGAGAAGTGGTTAGTGCGTGACATGGTTTCTTTGTATGTAAAGAAACTCTGTAGGACTCGCATCTCTTGACACGTCACGACTCTCTGATTGGAGTTTAAAAAATAGTGCAACATACTGGTTTGAGTCATTACCAGACATGACTAAGAATAGAACCCTGTGAAGATCCTGTTATCACCTTTTTACTGCTCATTCCTGTTACTCCTTGTGGAGCATAGGCCAATGATCAGAATTCTCCATCAGACTCTGTGATGGGAGTACTTTCCAGTATCTATTCATCCTTCTGATGTCTGCTTCCAGTTCCCAGCGCAGTGTATTCTATAGTCTTCAGCTTTTTCGTTTCCCTTTAGAATTCCGAGTTAGTCATATTGAGACGACGTTATGTAATAATCGGCTGGCGAAAAAGTTGTAAAGTGACAATAATTGTCTACTTGGTAGCTATTAAGGACAGAATAATTAGGAGTTGTACCTACTAATGTACGCCTGTCACCCCTCGTAGAGGTGCATAGGCTGCATACCAGCATTCTCTATCTTACTCTGTCCTGGGAAATACTTTCCAGTTATTTCCAGTTGCTATTCATCCTTCGGATGTCTGCTTCCAGTTCGCAGCCCAATATGTTCTCCAGTCTTCAGCTTTTTCGTTTCCCTTTGGGATTCCAAGTTAGGGCTTGCCTCGTGATGCAGTTTGATGATTTCCGCAGTGTGTCACCTATCCGCTACAAGTGTGTTTACCTGATTTCCACTTTAGCTGAATGCTGGTTTGCTCTCTTTCTCTCTCTCTCTCTCACACACACACACAGTGGCTGTTGCTGATGGCATCCGGCAAACAAACATTGAGTATCTTGCGTAGACAATTGTTTACAAATACTTGTACTTTGTTGATGATGGCTGTAGTATTTCTCCAAGTTTCAGCTCCGTACAGTTGAACTATCTTGACGTTCGTATTGAAGATTCTGACTTTGTTGTTAGCTGCCAATTGTTTCGAGTTACATATGTTCTTCAACTGTAGGAATTCTGCTCTTGTTTCGTCAGTCCTCTCATTTACTTCTGTATCAGATCCTCCTTGTTTACCAATGAAACTGCCCAGTAACACGAACGTCTTCACCTCTTCCAGAGCTCCATCAAGTGTGACTAGGTTGGTGTTCTCCGTGTTGTATTTGGGGATCTTGGTTTTTTCCCTTATGTATGTTAAGGTTTAAGGATTCAGAGGCTGCTGCTATACTAGTTGTCTTCATCTGCATTTGTTGGTGTGTATGGGATAGAAGAGCTAGGTCATCTGCAAAGAACAAATCATGTAGCCACATCCAAGCTCTCCATTGTATTCCGTGCTTTCCCTGAGATGCGGAGGTCTTCATAATCCAGTCGACCACCAGATGAAAGGAAAAGAGAGAGAGAGTGAGCAGCCTTGTCTAACACCGATTTTCACTTGGAATGAGTCTGTCAGCTGTCCTCCATGCACGGCTTTGCAGTGTAGTCCGTCGTATGAATTTCTCATGATGTTGACGGTTTTCTCAGGTACACCATAGTGTTAGAGAAGGTTCCTCTATCCACACTGTCAAATACTTTCTCAAAGTCAACGAAGTTGGTGTATAGTGACGAATTCCATTCAATTGATTGTTCAACGATGATCCGTAGTGTTGCGATTCGGTCTGTACACAACCGATCCTTAGTGAATCCGGTCTGTTGATCTCGAAGTCGGGCGCCTACTGAACCTTTCATCTGGCTCAACAACACTGTTGAGAGCTTTTCCTAGTACCGATAGTAGTGCATCTGATTTCAGTGCTCCAGCTGGTTTAGTCAGGTTGCTGCTTTCCCACTCTTCATTTGTCTAATAGCCATCCATCGTTGGTGGAGTGATATCTATAGGAATGTCTGTGTGTGCTGCTTCAATGTCCAGTGGGTTCAGCGAGACTGGTCTGTTCAAGAGTTCTTCAAAGTCCTCTACGCAATTGTCCGGTTGTTCTTAAATTCCAGTGATTGGCTTGCCTTCTTTGTCTTTGAATAATCTCTCTGGTTTACAATATTTCTCTGTGAGCCTCTTCATTGTTTTATATAAACGTTTCATATTTCCTTCTCTTGCAGCTTTTCCCTCTGTCATTACTAGTTCTTCGATGTGTTTCTGCTTGTCAGCTCTAATGCTCTTCTTCGCTTGCTTGTTTGCTTCTGTTTATTCAGCTTGTGCCTTGACTTTCTCTGTTCTTGTTTGGCTGCTGTTAATTGCTGTCTTCTCGTTCTTCCCTTCTTGAATCTTGACGACGGTTTCGATGGAGGCCCATTCGTCGTGATGATGTTCCTTGGAGCCCAGAACGTCTTGAAACGTTGAAGTTAGTGCCACTTTAATCCATTTCTAATTGTCGTCGACAGTGGTTTCTCCTGAGTAGATCTTGTAAGGTTTGGATCCTGTTGCTGATAGCTATCTTGAATTCGTTAATTAAAAGTTGTAATAATTGCCAATTAATAATTTTGAAATAATTGGAAAAGAGTAAAAATAATAGAATAAAAAACGATGGATTGTGAAAATGTATATCTTATTCGGAGCATCTACAGACGTGCTACTCTTTGTGCTGATGCTTTTTGCGTCACAACACTTGAATCTTGAAGTTGATTCATTCTTAATTCTTTTCCAGTTTTTCTCTGTATTATTTTTCTCTTACTTGAGTAAATCTTGTAAGACCTTTGTAGTGGTGTTTGCCAAGGTACTCACTATTTCTTAAGCTTATGTTTTAACTTTACCATCATCAGATGGTGATTTGAGTCTATATCATCCCCTCTCTTTGTTCTTAAATCTTCCATAGACCTGAACGTTTTATTTGTGCAAACGTGATGGATCTTGTTGTCACTCATGCACTAATTTCCATTTATTTTCGCTCTTTTTTTATTATACTCATTTCCCTACCTCTTAACTACCCCATTTTTATTGTGTGGCGCATGTATATTTCTCTGCTCCTTAGTACCAATTTTTGTTTTCAATAAATTTACTTGCCAGGCCATCTTAGGAAAAAAGTCTTTCCTATATTCTGCTACATTTCAGCTACTTACAGCCATATATGCATTAAAATGTAACATTGAGTTATGATATATTGTGACACAAAATTGATAACAGAAAGAATTAAATCATAAGAACTATCAATGATGATTACATATATATTGATATCGATATTTGCAAGAACAGGTGTGAAGTCATTTGGAGATGGAGTACATACAACATAGGGGGCGGGTGAGGCAGTAATTAAATGAAGTTCGGAAACAGATATGATAGATTGTGTGATAATTCAAAGTTTATGAAGAGTTTACATAAGATTACAATTATTGTCCAGAATTAGAAATTAGTATGATGGGTTACATAGCAATTTCACGGGACTTGAAGAGTTTGCAGAGAATTGAGTAAGTGAAAAAATGGATGAGTGATGGGTTGAATTCGGTCTGCATAAAGTAAGAATTAGTTTGACGAGAATCATATCACATAGCAAAGACTAATAAAATAATCATAATAATGATATTAACAACAAATAACTATTTAACGTAGTAGTGATAAGTTGATTACTACCTCTTTCTGAATACATAAATTAAGTCTGAGTTTCTTTATTGCTGCTGCTTCGGCAAACCGGAGACACTGCGTTTTTTGTCTCCTAATATTATTGAAGTTTTGTGGAATTTCAATGGTATATCCTGTATCAGTTAAATGTTGAGCTATTGCATCGTATAGAGCCATTGTGTCTCAGTTTCAAATTCTTTAGAAGTTGTGCTCTTTTTTCCGTTCTTCCAATGTGCTTTGGCATGTACATGTAAATTGGCAAATGCAGTTGCTTAATTGCTAAGTTTTAATTGCCATTATGGTCAAATTCAGTGTCTACTTCATGTAAAAGTGCGCTTTTTAGTTATCCCACAGGTTTTGTATCAGTTTATTCCGATGACCTTGTATGTTATTGGCTGTTGTAATGTACAATACGAATTGCACCAGCTGCGAAAACTATCAAATTACACAAGGTGGGCGTCCCCTGTACTTATGCTTATGCATAAACAGATTATCATTGAGGCGACACTAAAGAATATCATCAATATCAATGTGTGCAGACAACCGTGGACGCGGATTCGATTGGAGAAGTTCCAACATTTTAGATCGAAGAAACCCCAAGATGCTAGAAAATTTTTAGAAGCATGGTATTCAAATTAATTAATGATTAACACAGGTATGTCAACGTAAACTCAGTCTATGAAGCAATATGTATGAGGTCATCTAATCAAGATATCCAACATGGATGCAAAAGTAAACGAAAACAACGAAGCCTACAAAATCAGCTGATCGTAAACAGGGTCATCAGAATAAACTGGAATAATTAAAACACTCGCTTCTACATGGAGTAAACATTAGAGATGTCCAGAATAACAATGAAAACTCAGAAATCAAGCTATCTAGCTCCTCAGAGAAAGCAACTTTATTTATGTATATATATTACTCGGTAAAGCGACTGTGAGTTTAATTTACCTTGTTCGTTAAGGTATTTCTTGCTGATAGCTCAAAAATAATGTGTTATAGAGTTAAATAGATACTATTTAACTTGCCTTTTCGTTTTCCAAAATGAATTCCTCTTATTTAATCTTAAATCCGTTTAATATTTGTAATTTGTATTCTCTTTTTTTCCAAGACATTCCCAATGCAAAAAACTCCAGATCGCAACTGGACTCTGATATTTTTGAAAACCCAATCACCCAGATATATAAATGCTGAAAATAAATATTTAACTGAGACTTCTGATGCGGATGAATATGATTTGAAATTTAAAATGGTATGGTACAGTACATCGAATAGAGTCCATGTTTTCAGTCCTAAATTGGTCTGCGCTCTTAGAGATGTTAAACTTGGTGAACGTTTACTAGTCACTGGATTTCTTTCTTATTATCAATCACCTAAACCTGATGGAACGACTCAAAGAAACTGCTGCGTCACGGCTCAGCGCATCGCTCATATGGGTTGGTCTAGTGATTATCAACCCAGTGAGAACCTGGCGGAAGTTTTTGAAACATAAATTCTAGAAGATTTATCACTATGTGTCTCACAACATATATATTTTATCTTCCCATTAATGCCATCACATCCATCCAGTGAGTGCCAATATATTATTTGATAGCCTCTTGTTTTTGAATAGTTGATTTGTTGTATGCATCCTTTAAGTTCCACTCATTCATTAAGCAGTAATTATACTATGTTTTGAACACCTGAATTGGATTGCTGTTAACTCAATAGTTAACAAATAATAATTTCCTACTTAAAAATAAGTATAAATAGTATCTCAATTATGAATGTATATTCTAATCTTGATTTAAATTTAATCAATCAAGTATTGTGCAATCACTATGTAACTAGGCATAAATGTCTCTTGAACCAAGATACCACACCAGCACAGCAAAAATAAATGAGCGTGATTAGTGTTAGCGAAGTTTGAGTTATTATGATATCAATGATAGTGAAAATAATTAAACATAAACAATATGATATTTGAAAAAGAAGTGATGAACTTGTGAAATAATACTGGAACTCGGAATCCAGGAGAAAATTATAAGTAGGTGGATTTAAATGAATGAGACCGATCCGGAGGTATCTTACCTAAATTCTCCGACAGTCGGCCACAAATATCATAAAAATACCTAACATCTCAAGCCTGTAGTCAGTAACTTAATGGGTTGGTGCCACACTTACGACCCCAGTCAACATTGTTTCAAAGTTGGCAGTTCAGTGTTCATAACATAAGTCCTAGTTACTTTAACCGATGTAAATTCGTAGCCTATTCAACCGATCTACCACCACTACCTAGTACTCTACGTCTAACCTCAATATTGTGTACTCAGTTGTTTCAATGTATGCCAGCCACACTTCTAAAACAAATGATCAAATACTAGTAACCTGTGAATAGTTTTGACTTTGGAAAGTCATATTTTACGAAGTAAAAGAAAGTGAACTTCCTAGTAATGTACTCGTTTTTAGATAGGAGCGTGAATATCTTGTTTGTACTAAAGATGGCGCAAGTTCTTACAAATCAAGTAAGGTTTGTAAAATCGTGCTGAAGTTCCGTCAGGCATCATCTTATTACAGCTAAATGGTCAGCTGTCGATTACTTCAATTGTTTTGCTTACTCATTGACAAAGTATAGGTTAGTGTATTCAACTTTGAGTCACAATTGTTTTGCAAGAGCTGCTTTTTATACCAGGGTATACAAACAGAACTAAAAAAGATGGGGTTCGGACCTGAAACATTGCTTGAAAGCTAAGCGTTTCAACCACTAAGCCACCCCTCAAAATTTCATTTCTTCCAGTCAAGATTGACACATACTTGTCGTAAAACAAAATCCATCACCGATATGGAGGGATGTCCACCTCAAGTATTCTAGCGTCTATCTAAAGTGTCCATAAAACTATTTTATTAGCGTCTTCATTAAATAGAACTGTCATCTGGGTCCGTAAAAATACTGAGTTAGTAGTTATCGTATATTATTAGACCCTTTTGCAGTATGTTGTGGGAACAAGTATAAGTAAATATAGTGCTAAATTGATACATTACTGTGTGATATTTATTCTTAAAATGATTTACAATATCATGTGGTTCGATATAATTAACTAGAAGTCATGTGTTTTTGAAATTTCAATGTAGGCAATCAAAAACTAAACGGTTAATAGAATATTCAACGAAGTAAATACATTCACAGTTCATAAGATGGGATTGTGTCCTTAATCGATTGTCTATTGTTCAAAAAATAACATTTAATATATACCTATTTCGTTCTATATCTTGGATATGCAAATATTTTATTGAAATAAACAACGAAACTGATTTTTTCCTGTATGTCACTCGATTAAGGATAGATTGTCTTTTGAAACTTCGTAGTAATTGTTAGTGCCGTAATTAGCTGTATTTTTATCACCAATACTTACATTTTAACTGAAAGGTCGAGTATTTCAAATTCGTCTGGAGCGAGTTTTACAAAATGCTGTTTGAAAATATAAATCTATGCTAGATCCAGAGATATGCTACTGGTTTACCGCAAAATGTAATCAACTTCATGGTACATTGTTAACTGATGAGTAAATTCACCTGAAGCTTACAGAATAAACTTGAGGTACTTGTGAGTTCATCATGTATTTCGAAATGACGGAAATGTCAATAAACAAATAACTACAGTACAGTGCTGGGACACTGCCTGGGTGTCCAAACCGAAGCACGTGGTTTTCTTAGGGAATACACCCGGAGGTTTCAACCTAAAGGCCTGATCCGAAAGGTAATGGAGTAACGTTATTTATTTATTTGAACACATAAATATTGGTACAAGACGGCACCAAATATATATATGCACTACACAAAACAATGAAAATTAGAACAAAAAAAAGGTAAGGAGCGTAAAGACAAAAGAACTGTGACTAACAGACTAGTGTAAGGTAGTATAATAATCATAGTAATAATGGGGGGAAAAGAAAGGTACGATGAGAAGAAATCTTTCGGTTAAGGAAGAAACAACCACTTTCTATGAAGAAAGTTGTTGGGGACGATAGATCCCCAAAACTCAAATTTTGTAATTTACTTATCGATTAAATGTGCAGATAGGTCAATTGATGAACTATCGATTAAATGTACAAATAGGTCAATTGATGAACTATCGATTAAATGTTCAAATAGCAGTCAATTGTTGATTAATGTTCAAAAATCTTCCTATGACAATATCGATTGTAAATAATTGTATAAATACGCTTGACGTGTATGCTTGATCTGATCTGCCTGCCTGACTTGTTATCTGCTGTTTGTCTGTAGAATACACTTTCTACACCTTACCCAACTTCTTGATCGAGTTAGCAGAGTTGGGGACAACGGACCAGAATAGTCTATCGAGTCGCTGAATCCTTGGTCCGATCGATAAGTCACACTCCATATAAGCGGCTGTCACTTTGAGCCATAACAAATTGGCGACGGGGTAAAAAAAGAACAATCCAAAGTCAGCCTTCAGCATCCAGATTTGTCATCAGTGTCCTTCAGCAACATTGGTCATTAATCAAACAGTAATTTTCATTACCGGTGCTGGATAAAAAAATGACTCTCCCTTCCGATCGAGTACAGCTGCTATTTGAAAGACAGTTGGAGTTTTTAGTCAAATTACGCACGCAGCTGTTAAATCACTCATGCTTTGGAGATGCAACGGAAGTGGATGGATTGATCACTCAACTGCACACAGAGCTGGAAAACGATTGCAGCCCCAATGAATCCCCGATAAACCGTATTTCAAACGGTACAACAGTCACTCAAGATTCGCCCAGTGGTCCAGTCCTCTCCATTCCAGAAACATGCCCGGTAATGGACTCAAACTCCATTATCCCCAAAACAGCATGTGCAGACGGTGACTTATCCAGCTCACAAACACACTCCCTGGTAAATGCTCATAGAATTGTCGCAATAACCACCCATGAAATAGAAAACAAATCGAGCAGTACACTGAATACAACTGCTTCAAATGGTTCTCATCAGTCTACGACAGATGTTTTTGACAAATCTTATTATCAAAATTCTCTTTTACCAGAAAATATGGCAGATGCATCAAATGATGATCAAAATAAATTTGGTCACAATATTTCAGAAGAATTAAACTTCGAACACCTCACATCAAGTGTTGTTCAGCCTCAAGACTTAGTCACTTTCAGTCAATTCTCTGTTCAGTGCGATAAATATGTCTTAAATAAATTCAAGTTAATTATAACGTGGGCATATGAAGATCCAACACTGTTTCGTTGGGGAGGATGGACCTGGAAAACTTAAAATCCGGATATCAACTCCGGATCTTCTAAAAAGGGGAGGAGTGTTGGGGACGATAGATCCCCAAAACTCAAATTTTGTAATTTACTTATCGATTAAATGTGCAGATAGGTCAATTGATGAACTATCGATTAAATGTACAAATAGGTCAATTGATGAACTATCGATTAAATGTTCAAATAGCAGTCAATTGTTGATTAATGTTCAAAAATCTTCCTATGACAATATCGATTGTAAATAATTGTATAAATACGCTTGACGTGTATGCTTGATCTGATCTGCCTGCCTGACTTGTTATCTGCTGTTTGTCTGTAGAATACACTTTCTACACCTTACCCAACTTCTTGATCGAGTTAGCAGAGTTGGGGACAACGGACCAGAATAGTCTATCGAGTCGCTGAATCCTTGGTCCGATCGATAAGTCACACTCCATATAAGCGGCTGTCACTTTGAGCCATAACAAATTGGCGACGGGGTAAAAAAAGAACAATCCAAAGTCAGCCTTCAGCATCCAGATTTGTCATCAGTGTCCTTCAGCAACATTGGTCATTAATCAAACAGTAATTTTCATTACCGGTGCTGGATAAAAAAATGACTCTCCCTTCCGATCGAGTACAGCTGCTATTTGAAAGACAGTTGGAGTTTTTAGTCAAATTACGCACGCAGCTGTTAAATCACTCATGCTTTGGAGATGCAACGGAAGTGGATGGATTGATCACTCAACTGCACACAGAGCTGGAAAACGATTGCAGCCCCAATGAATCCCCGATAAACCGTATTTCAAACGGTACAACAGTCACTCAAGATTCGCCCAGTGGTCCAGTCCTCTCCATTCCAGAAACATGCCCGGTAATGGACTCAAACTCCATTATCCCCAAAACAGCATGTGCAGACGGTGACTTATCCAGCTCACAAACACACTCCCTGGTAAATGCTCATAGAATTGTCGCAATAACCACCCATGAAATAGAAAACAAATCGAGCAGTACACTGAATACAACTGCTTCAAATGGTTCTCATCAGTCTACGACAGATGTTTTTGACAAATCTTATTATCAAAATTCTCTTTTACCAGAAAATATGGCAGATGCATCAAATGATGATCAAAATAAATTTGGTCACAATATTTCAGAAGAATTAAACTTCGAACACCTCACATCAAGTGTTGTTCAGCCTCAAGACTTAGTCACTTTCAGTCAATTCTCTGTTCAGTGCGATAAATATGTCTTAAATAAATTCAAGTTAATTATAACGTGGGCATATGAAGATCCAACACTGTTTCGTGGGGGAGGATGGACCTGGAAAACTTAAAATCCGGATATCAACTCCGGATCTTCTAAAAAGGGGAGGAGTGTTGGGGACGATAGATCCCCAAAACTCAAATTTTGTAATTTACTTATCGATTAAATGTGCAGATAGGTCAATTGATGAACTATCGATTAAATGTACAAATAGGTCAATTGATGAACTATCGATTAAATGTTCAAATAGCAGTCAATTGTTGATTAATGTTCAAAAATCTTCCTATGACAATATCGATTGTAAATAATTGTATAAATACGCTTGACTTGTATGCTTGATCTGATCTGCCTGCCTGACTTGTTATCTGCTGTTTGTCTGTAGAATACACTTTCTACACCTTACCCAACTTCTTGATCGAGTTAGCAGAGTTGGGGACAACGGACCAGAATAGTCTATCGAGTCGCTGAATCATTGATCCTTCGTTTCGTTCGAGTAAGACGCATCAGTAATCGCATTCAAGCAATAACGAAACATAACAAAAGTAACAGAAGGTTACAGCAGGATCGACACTGGCTTCTATTCTCAGCCATATCTGATAACGTCTCTAGCCACTGTGTTGCACCAACTCTATTACTCAAGCCAAAGAGTCGTGAAGGACCGACAGAAGCCAGTCTTTTGCAGCTTTTTTCATACTACGACACCATGTCATACACTGACCATCTCTCCGCTTCTTCCAACCAGTCCCAGAGTCGGCAAATAATGCACGATGTGGAATTCTCTGGAACGACATTCGGAGAACATGTCCAAGCCACCGAAGTCGATGTTTCAAGATGGTGACACCAATTGCATTATCGTTTCTGTTCCCGAACACACGATGCCGAACCTCTGTATTCCTGACACGGTGTTGCCACTGGATGTCTGCAATCCTACGGAGACAGCGATGATCGAACACAGAGAGTCGTCTAACATCCTCAATTAGAAGTGGCCAGGTTTCACAAGCATAGAGCAAAACTGCTCTCACCGACGTGTTGTAGATCCGACCTTTTACAACCAGACTAACATCACTAAGGCGCCAGAGATGACCCAGATTGGCATAAGCCGCTCTGGCTTTCACTATACGTGAATTAGTCTCATCACTCACACCCCCACCAGCACTTATGCAGCTACCTAGATACACGAACTTCTCGACTACTTCTATCAGCTCACCATCCAGGGTGAGTACAGGATTAGAATCCTGCCAGTCTTGTAGAAGTACTTTGCACTTCGAAGGTGCAAAGCACATACCGTACCTACGGACACTGATTGCCAACCGATTAAGTGCGGATTACATGGCTTGGGCATTATCTCACAGTAAGACAATATCGTCCGCATACTCAAGGTCGAGAAGTCTTTCTCCAGGCAACAGATCCACACCGCCATTACTTACATCCATCAGCGTTGTTTCCAGAATGTCATCGATGGCAAAGTTGAAGAGGACTGGCGAGATTGGGCAACCGTGCCTAACCCCACTGCTCGAATGGAACAATGGAGAGAGGTGGTTGTATGCCCTCACTCTGCCTGAAGTGTTTGTATATAGGGCTTTTAGGATGTTAATAAACTTCTCAGGCACACCCTTCTTCAATAGACAATCCCAGAGAACAGTCCTGTCCAACGAATCGAAGGCAGCCCTAAT